CCGAGAATGCTCGTCCGGGGGCTTCTGTAGATTCTGATAGAGCTCGTTGAAGGTGGGGTTCGGTGATGGACTTCCCCCAGTGAATCTTGTGATAAACAGCCAGGCTGAGGATGACCGGCTTGGAGGCGTGTCCCAGGGAAAACGTGGTGGGTGACAGCACAATCCCCAGACACGGCGCTTCTTGATAATTCTGCAAATGCCGATTGATATAGAGATACAGAAATCAAGGTCTGTGACCCAGTCTCCCAGCTGTAGCTGATAGATCTGTAAACCTTATTCCACTAGCCCAGCCCTGTTTCCATGGAGATTCCTTGTCTTGGATTCCACATAGGGAGAAGAGCCTGGCCAGAAGTGATACCTTTTTATCTGTCCTGTTCAAGTTCTGCCAGCACCCGTCAGCCTCTTGTCCACTCGATGTCCTCGCGTCCAGAAAACAAATACTCAGAAGCTGCCAGAACACCTGTTCTAATGAGGTTTAATCGCTCTCACCATTTATCAAGGAACCTCTAACGTGATAGAATCCAAAGCCTCCTTTCTCCCCAGGGCCATGTTAAATGTTTTCAACTTCCTTGATCTCATTTTCCTCGTGAATGTTGAGTTTTAGGAGCACAGAACTATGGTAGTAATATCGAGATTAAATTTTAATTGCTAAGGCTTTGAAACACAAACAAAATTTCAAAAGCTCATTAGTAATTGAAAATTGTAATCCTGCCGAGGATACATTTTACTGCTATCATAACTATAAAACACAATGATAGATATGGAAATATTATAGTAGAATTTGGAGGAATATTTTTCACCCGTTTTCTTATTAAACTCTGTAGATATTATTTTTTGGTATGCAGTCTTACTGGATAAACACAGTTCACATTAAGACTAAACACAAAAATACTGCACTGCTTATTTAAAATTGGAATAAAGCTGTTAATTTTTGCAGTCTTAACTGTGCAATACAAAGGTGAGAAATAATTTCACCACCCAGAAAGGTATAATTTATGGGAGAAATATTGTTCATTATTTGTAGAAGAACAAGTTTGTTTACTTCTTTCATTCATTCACTTACTTTAAAACATATTTATTGAGTGTCACAACATGCCGGGTACTGTGCTTAGTTGGCACAGATGCTGTCTTAGTTACTTGTTTCATTGTTGAGACAAAACACCCAACTCCCACAGGTGAAGGAGGAAAGGTTTATTTAGCTCACAAATTGTAGAGGTCTCAGTCCATAATTAGCTGGCTCCAAAGCAGGGTGGTGTGGCAGAGGGGCATCCCAGAGGAGAAACAGTTAATGGTAGACAGAAGGCAGCAAAGCAAGCAAGGAAGGAACCTTAGCAGCTTTTCTTCTGCCCCTTTTGTACTCTATCTAGGCTACCAAGATTAGGACCATGCCAAACGAATCAGTGGGTAGATCCTGTTTCTATAGGAACCTGACAAAGTACTTGGCCTTTCTGGGCTGTGGCTGGTTTATTTGTAAAATGGAAATGGGAGCAACCACATGTTCCTGTTTTGTCTTGGTAGGATTAAATGAGTCAATAATCTATGTGAGCACTTAGGGCAGAGAGTGGGCACACAGAGAGAACTCACTCAGTAGTGGTGGTAGTGGGGCAGTAGTTGTGCTGATGAGCATCAGCATCCTTCCTCCTCATCATAAGTGTCCTTATTCACCTTGTGTGACAGAGTCACAGAAGGCCAGCTGGCAGCAGTCAGAGGTAGTAGGTCATACTTGCTGGTAGACTATAATTCAACATTTGAGGGAGAAAGTCTTCATTGGTAATGTGACAACTTTGTGTCCTACCTAAGGTGTGTTTCATTGATGACCAACACTGATAATTACGGGTCAGGACTCTACCCGTCTAGTGGCCGCTGAGCATGGTTCCACAAGGTTACCAGCTCCCATCAACCCCTTGAATTGGCTCCTCTTCCCTTCACACTCCTGAGGCAGGAGGGCTGGCCTCCCGCTTTGCTCGTTCTCCCCATATTTCCAGCAGTGCCTCCATGCTTAGAAGTGAGAGCCCATGCAAGGCCACTGAGTAGCGTCTCACTCCTGCATTCCCTTGTGCATAGCCCCTCCCCTGCATGCTCTCTGGATGGCACACAGGGGCAGTGGAGCATACAAGAATGAGAAGGATGTATGTAATTTAGCAGTCCTCAAATGGAGGCCTCTTTGCCCCCCAAGGGATATTTGAAAGTGTTTGGAGACAGTTGTCGTAATGTCTAGGACCTGCTATTGTCACCTAGTAGGAAAAAGCCAGTGAGGCTGCCAGACTTCTGCCAAAGCATAGGAAAGTCACTACAACAAAGGCTGACCTGGCCCACAGGGCCAGGAGGGCCAAGGTCAGGAAACTCTGAATTGGCCCATGCTAAAGCCCATGTGTCTGGTTAACTACAATGCCTGGTAATACAGTAGTAACCTTCTATTTCAACACAGATTCTAAGTGACTAGTGGTGCAGGCTTTAGGCAGAGAGGGTGGAGATGAGAGAGTGGTGCGTCTCATGTCTGAATAGTCTTTCTTTCTGGCAAGCTTATACCCTTCTCCTGGGCACAGTTGCCCGCCTCTGCATGGCTAGCCTCCAGTAATCTTCACAACTCAGGAGACCCAGTTCATGCATTAGACACAGTCACAGAGCAGAGTGGGTGCCCAGCTCCCACTGTCCAAGCTGGTTAATGATGTACCAGGAACAGACTGAGTCACGCTGAGTATGGGAGAGTGATCTCCCATATATAATGAATAGTAAAGCCTTGCATCACCCAAGGGAGGCCTTGAGAAGGAAGAGAGCATTTTTAACAGGGGCAGTTGTGCAGTGCTTATTATATGCTAGGGTGGCAGTGTTGAAAACATCTTTTAAGTTTGTTTTATTTTTTAAATACTGGCCATCAAGTCCAGACACCTATGCATGCTAGGCACATGCTCTACTACTGAGAAACACCGCCCGCCCTCCTTGAATCTCCATAACAATCCCAACAAGGGAAGTCTAGCCACCTGTGATATTTAGACAAAGAAACAGGAGTGAAGATCCAGGAAGTCCTGCTCCAGAGTTTGGGACCTTAATTATTACTATGTGATAAATGAAACACTGAATTTCATACTTGAACTTTGTCAGAACCTCAGATTTTTCTCATCTGTAAAATGGAATCATACATACTTCACAAGAGGAGTAAGGATAAAACAGGATTACTTATGTATAGGGGTGACATTTGACAGGCATTTAGGAAATTTGAGTTCTCCTCCCTCATTTTATGCCAGGCCCAGTGTTCATCCTGTAGCTTTAAGCACGTGACTGGCTCATGTGTATTTTGTATTCTTTCATGAGATAGTCAAGGATGGCCACAGGAAGGGACACAGGAGAAGCTCAGGAAAATGAAATTGTTCCAGTCACAGGAACTGAAGGCACAAGGCACCACATACCATGTGAGGTCACAGGGAAGACACCAGGATCATCAGGAGGCAGATGCAGGAGTGAGGGGAAGGCTTGGGCTACTGCCCTCACCGGTGTTTTCTTGGGAAGGCAGAGTAGGTCTGGCTAGTTTGATTTATGTTGGTGTGTTGTGTGCTCTTGGGATGGTCCCTTATCACTGACACCCAGCCCAGGGGTGATTAAAGTAGAGGAACATTTGTCTCCTGGAGTGTGTGAGTCGGATCATGGAGTTGTGGCTCTGACTTGGGTAGTTTGCAGTGTCAGAGAATATTCGAGGCTGGGCTCTTTACTGTCTCTAAGAACTGTCTGGCTCTAGAGGGACAGCCAAAAAAGTTTGTGAAAATATTAAATATATCATAAAATACAAAAAAAATGAAAAATTATAGTATCTGTAAGACACGTTCAATATAAAAATAAATGCCCCAGATTTTCATGGGAACGAAGGAATGAATGGACAAGGTGCCCTAGACGTTGTGAAAAAGTCTAATGTTTGGTGTTGGAATGAGATTCTGTCACAAGCAAGACTTTCAGAATAAAAGTGTAGATTTTGCGTACAGTTCTTAGTCTGCTTAAGTGACGCTGTCTGTAAACCATAAGCAACACAAGCTTCCTTGTTGATTACATGTCTGTTTCTCTCCTAATGCGTTTTTCCCTCTGCCTCGATGCACCTTGGCCAAGGTGTTGTGACTCTGGTTGGGGAATTGATCAGGTGTGTGCGTATTCCCCAGACACCAGACACCTGCTCTGTTGTCCACAGAATGGAAGGTAACTGTCTTGGTTACTTTTTTCTCGCTGCTGCGACAAAATACCTGACGCCCAAAATTAAGGAAAGAAAGGTTTATTTCGCTTACAGTTCGTGGAGGTTTCAGTCTGTACTTGGCAGATTATAAGGCAGAGTGGCACATGGCAGAGAGATACAGCTCAGGGTGGCAGAACACAGCAAAGCAACAACCACACACCAGGGCGGAATGGTGGAGGAATGGCCTCAAGCATCCTTTTCCTCTCCCTTACAAATGCAAACTATCCACCCCAGGGCGGGTGTAGCTTTCAAACCCATAATGAAACTCTAAAAGCCTGCCCCATGGCCGCATGAGGCTTTGGGGGGACATCCAAACACAAACCATAACAGTGACACTTCCCATTGTCTTAGTTCGGGGCTTTTCACCATCCTGCTACCCACACTGGCGCTTCCCCCCCTGCCAAATTCTAATTCCTAAGTGGGACTGGGTTCTGTTCCTGAGTGGCTTTCCTCTTGCCCATCTGCTGTCCCACCATGTGCAAGTCCTGTATGTTTGTTTCATTCCAAAAAACTGGGACATGTCAGAGTACCCAACAGTAAGAACGATAATGAACTTGATCCGGAAGCTACTTTGAGATCTTGCTGCACTTGTGAGTTGTTGTTCTGTGTGTCTTAACCACAGGGCTATGCGGAGAAGGAATTAAATACAGTGTGTGTGGTAGGACGCGGTGTTCCAGAGATTAGCCCAGCCTCCGTGTGAAACATTTTGTTCTCCAAGTTAAAAATGGAGAGAGTCAGACAGATATGCACAGACCATGAAATCTTTTTAAATTTTCTTTTACAGATCTGAAGAAAACTCTCGCCGTGTTATTGGATAACATTTTGCAGCGCATCGGCAAGCTGGAGTCGAAGGTGGACAATCTTGTTATCAACGGCACAGGAACAAACTTAACCAACTCCACCACAGCTGTTCCCAGTTTGGTAGCACTTGAGAAAATTAATGTGGCAGGTAAGAGTGGCACTTGTATGTGCTGATGTGGAGTGGAACCCTACTTCGGACAAGGGAAAGAATAGAGTACAGTAGTTCTTATTGCTATAATACAAATTCCATTAACTTAGTATGGCTGTTGTGAAGATAACTTTGAATTTGTTTTTGAAGAACAGATGTTAGAATGCTTTTATGGCTTTGTCATGATGTGTAATATCCGGTGGTTTCTCTGACACATTTACACATAATGAGCTCCTGGAATTGACTTCTAATGAGAAGATTCATAGAGTAGGTTAAATGAAGTATAGGGGTGATCTGAGAAGCACCTGTTAGTTGGAGTTCCTTCCTCTTTCTCACCACTGTCAGACAATTTCAGAAGTCTGTTATGTTTAGTAGATTCTCTCCCCGTTATTAAAATACTGCTACTATTGCAGAAAATGTCTCCTGTGTGTATATGGAGCAGTAGAAATTCTGGAACTGGCTTTGAGGAGATAAATGGGCCCTGTGTAATCCTATCCAGTTCCTTATCCACGTAGGGACCGCATCATGCACTTGCCACAGGGATGCTTTTTGTCTGAGTGCTTCTTGAATTTGGAGTCTTGGACAATGGAAGGGAAATGAATCGAAAACAAAACCCAAGTCATAAACAGCAGGTCATTGTCCAGAGTATGCCATTGTCTACAACTCATACTGGGCCCACCCTTACATCACATGCCCTGGGGGTGGCTTCTGGGTGTTTGTGCTTGAGCTAAGACTGCTTCTTTTAGGGAACCACTGTGTCCTAGAATCCCAGGACAAAGCAAACAGCCCGAGCATGAGGTCCTGTGCATGAATGATTGTGGAAAAGCTGTCTGTATACTTCTCGTGGTTGGCAAATTTGGTTGTGGTTCAGGGATAAAGTAACTAGATTACTTCTAAAACTTAAAAAGTAGGTTTAATACACTCCATAGCTCATTTTTGTCTCCTTCTTGTAAAGATGCACACTGTCAAATAGGACTAATTCTTTTCCTCTCTCATCTCCCAGTGTCAAAACATTTAATTGTTTCACATTATGCAAGCTGGTTGTATTACCTTTTTGTTACGTTCTTTGCCCTTTTGCAAATTGTAAGTTGCAGAATATATTTCTCATAATCCAAAGTCTCCAACCAAATAAAAGTGTTAAAAATAACTTTTAATTACAACATAGAGGCAGTGTCATCTAGGCCATAAATTCCATCTTCCCTGTAGTTTTCCCTGTAGTTTCTGTAATTAGACAAGAAAACCTCCTGTTGTTTTGAGCTGCTTATTAATAAATGGGATCCAGGCCTCTTTAGCCTCCACTCCCCATGGGCATTCCCAGTAGAAGATACCGTTGAGAGGTCCTGTCTGATTACATCACAGCTCTGCATTATCTGATGTTGGAGATACAGTGGGGTGTTCTGCCATTAAGTTTGCTGGCACTCACTGCCTCTATCCATAACTTAAGGGCCTACGTGCCTTCTTCTCTCATCTCTCCCCTACTGGGGGACCTGCTGCCTCTGACTATCTGTCTGACTGCTGGCTCACAGAGAGACTTCAAGTCTCAGGGTGCAGAGTAATGACTGACCTCCAGGAAGGACATAAGAGGGACTTGGTGGCTACTTCTTTCAAATGGAATCCTAGCCTTGTGTACTGATATAGTTTAACTCAGCTAACAAATACTTCTTCAGCATGTTCTCTAAGCCATGGGCTCACATTGGAGCTCTTCTAAATGTGCCGGTGGTGCCATGTTTTTAATATTTAAGGGGCCAGACTATTGCATTGTTCCTCTTTTTGGATATAGAAAGCTTGAAGTTCTGCATTTAATATTAACTTCACTCTCACACCTTTATGTCTTTTGTGTGTGTGTTGGAAACAGTCCGTATCTTCAGGGTGTTTTTCTTGTTACGGTAATAATACACGTACATACAGAAACACAAACTGTGGTCTCCATGGGGTGGAGGTGATGATGAAAGCTGTCCTGCAGGAAGATAGACTCTGAAGGTGGTAGAATTGAGGCGTGGGCGCCTTGTGGAGGAGAGACAGACTAGAAATAAATTGTGATCCAGAAAAGACCAGGAGGGAAGGAGAGGACACTAACAGCAAGAACCCAGCCTGCATATACCAGTTCTTCTTCTGGACCTTGAATCCCCTTAATCTTCTTAGCATCTCTACAAAGAAAGTGGTTTCACGGGTTTTACCAAATTTAAGTATTTGGTGGGGGGTGGGGGGTGGGAGGGATCCTTGGCCGCCAGATTAAGCCCTCCTGGTATCATGGAGGGAAAAGATTTGAATGCTTGTATTATTGCTTCCGCTTCCATTTGTAAATTCAGGGGATGAGTCTGTAACAAGGTCCCATCATTTCCTAAAAGGTCCTAGAGAAAGAAAGTGACATTTTCCTGGGGTACTTAATAACTTATCTGATAAGGAAGTTCCCTGTTGCTTTGGGTCTGTGGCTGGAGCTTTGTAAAGTAGATCCCTCTATGTGCTGGTATGTCCTCTTCTCAGGGATTCCTTGGCCAGAGTGGATATCAGTTCAGTGGACACCCTCTTGTGTTTGCCCCAAAGGGTGGAAGGTCCTTTGCATCTCATCGGTTAGCCCACATTTTAGTCATTTGTCTTGCACCAAAAAGAAGGATGAGAATATTAGGTGGATAGGCCTCATTCATGAGCACAGTAGTTTGTTATTGCTTTTCTGCCTTCCTTCTGGCCCGTGGTTGTACTGTTGGTCCTCAGAGCCCTCTTGCCATCTCAGAAATGGCTCTTGAGCTGTGAGAGAGTTCATTTTTATGGGGTTCCAATCCTGGTTGCATGAAGTTTCCCTTTCTCCCTTCCTGCATTAAGACATGTGGTAATTGCTCAGAAATGTTCTCCCTGGTGTGTCTTTACTGCTTACTCTGTGTCTTATTGCTCACTGATGTTTCTGATTGCTTACTGTTGTGTCTTATTGCTTGCTGATATATCTTCTGGTTGACTATAAACTGTTTCTAAATTGGGTATCATAGCAGTTAAGAAGGGTTCCCTAAAGTTATTTTCTTTAAAGGTACAGCTCTCTCACTTGCTCTCACTCTGTGTGTGTGTGTGTGTGTGTGTGTGTGTGTGTCCGTGTCCCCTCCCCTTCCTCTGTTTAACTCTGTTCTGTGTGACTTTTATCCAGTATGGCTTTTCTCTCCAAATTTATCACCCTTGGGCTTTTTTTATTTTGTGAAAGTGAATGTGCCGTTAGAGAAATGTAGGTGGAACTGAACTTCATTAAAATTAGGCATCAAATTGAGCTGCATTTGTGAGTTCTGTTCATGTTGTTGAAGACTAAAGGGAATCAAATGAAAAAGCAGATTTTTAAAAAATTTCTTACCTTTCCATTGACTTCCCAGGAAATCAGTTTACCCATATTTGTTTTCCAAAAAAGCTTGAATATCCTTTTGTCAAAATAATCTATTCTCTTGGGTCAAGGGATGTGGCTCAGGGCTAGAGCATATGCCTACGTGGCTCGCAAGTATGAAGTCCTGGATTCCTCAGCTTTAAAACAGTCTTTTATTTTTAAGAAAGAACTATTTACCTCTCTCTGGTGCTCTTTCATGACAAGAGTAGGACTAGGTCTGTGGTTGTTTGCCATATTCCAAATAATGGAGGGTGTAAAGTTAGAAACCTGATCATAAAGATGCTTGGTTTTTGATAGTGGAGACGGTATCTTGTCTATCTTAGTCCTACTCATGCTGTCATGTCTAAAGCTTTGTCTGTTGAAGTTACTCAATAGATAACTGCTTCCATGGGCTGCGTTATGCTGGAGGAGTTTTTCCTTATAGTTCTGTCCTCCATTTGTTATTTATGGAAATGTGGTTGGGCGTGAGACTTGGTATCTCATTTCCCCTTCTCAGCAAATAAGAGGGGACCCCTTTTGTGCTGGTCATGACTAAGCTTCTCATAGATGATCCTGTACTATGGTGTCTTCATAGAATATGATGGTTACAACTCTGGACTGTATACATAAATATAATATTTTGGAGGACAAGGACATTATGCAGCCCTCTACAGGGGTATGTGTGCGTGTGCATTTATTTAATTGCATTATCAGTAAACAGTTGCTGAATAACAGATGAATAACTGGCCAGTGCTAACTATTCACTAAAATTCAAAACATAATGATAGCATCTACTTTTGTTATGAGCACTTATAATTGCGAGGTCAGTTGGGAAATACAATCACAAAATCAAATGTGCAGACACAAACTCAAGCAACTATTTCCTGGTCTTTAGTCCAAAATACAGCCCCGCATTTTTCAAATGTCATTGGCCACGTGCAGCATTTCTAGTATTTGGGATTGACGTGCAGTGTATTTGAACTTGGATGCTGTTCTTGAAAACACACATAATTATTATTCTTACCATTTAGAAACTGAAAATGAAAAATGTCCCTGCTGAGTTTCATGACTTGCCTTTGAAAGTGAAATTTCCCCCCTTTGTGCTGCTAATGGACCTTGAAATTAAGTTGCACCTGTGCAGCTTCTTTGTTTGTCTGCCCCTGTTGTAACTTGTGTCAAAGCGGCACCTGAAGTGTGCCCAGCACCCGGCCCAGGCGATGGGTCACTAGGTCACTTTCCTAGGGTCGGGCATTGACCAGTCAGTGAGGCCCCATGTGCTGCCCTGGAGAAGAGAGAAACATGAAATTTCAAGCTGCCCTCTTATTGATTTGACTAAGAAACAAAGGCATTCTGTTGGTCTACATGGCACTTGCTGTTGTTTTGTTCTTTGCAAAGGCAGCAGTAATATTTAAAGGGCATGTCATCATTGGTGTGGTTTTGACCTTCTATGGTCAAGGGCGTTTCACTTTTTATCATTAAGAAGAAGACTACAGTTTTGGAATGGCGAGGCTGATGTAGAAGCTATCTGTGGCAGTGATTATTAACTGTGGGCAGTCTTGCCCCCCCAGGGACACTTGGAAATGTCTGGAGATATTTTTAGTCGTCACAACTAGAAGATACTGTATTATCTCATACGTAGAGGCCAGAGATGCTGCTAACCATC